ATCGCTGGAGCTAGTGTCTAAACCCTCCGAGAGGGCACAGGTGTCGATTCCTCCCATGTCGAAACTTTGTGAGGACAAACGCGGCATAGCTGACCGGCTCAGCGCCAATCCAAGCCAATTCCTTCGGGAACGCCTATTAGAATCGCCAAGGCTTCGGCACAGGCCTCCCCGGGACCCATTCACTACTAGTGGGGGGTACTGCACTTGGCGCGTCGGGCAGATCAAATAATGGTCTAAAGCTAGACGTTAAAACCGGGAAGTTAAGCCTGTGGAGGCTCTTCCCCACCTTTACCTTTACAAGAGGCATGTTTTTTTGCTTGGCAAGCTACTGCTTCCCGAATTGACAGCGCCAACAACACACCGTACCGGTTGTGCATACCCTTCCCCGTTGTGTTGTGCAGTATTGGGCATCAGCCAAGCGTCTGCCTGCAATGGAGCCTAGTGACTATAAGGCGCGCCGCATCATCTGCAGTACACCTCCAACACCAACGGTGTGCTTGCAAAGCACTACAAGGGTGCCGCCAAGCCGGATTGGTTTGAGGAGCGCATTGCAGCAGCGGCCGCGTGGGAGCGCACATATGGGGAGTGGCGGGACAAGAATGAGGCGCCGGCTGCTGGCTAAGCAGGAATGCAGCAGGCGTGCCGCCTGAGACCCGCCATGAGGCAAGTACAAGAATTTGCCCCGTTTTGCCCACCCTCTTGTCGTCCAGCCTTTGCCTGCGTCTCAGCCTGTGTTGTGCCTGCCTGCCTGCCTGCCTGTGACAGCTGAGTCCCCTTCCATCCATGCATCGCCATCTAACCCCCTCCCCCACCCCCCGCCCACTCCACCGCACCCATGCCTCGTAGTTGGAGCAAGAGCAGCTAGAGCAGGCAGAGGAGGCACCTGCGATGGAGAATGCAGAGAACCGCAGCAACAATCTTCAAGATGAGGAGGTGAGTGGACACAGATTGTGTGCTTGTTGAAGGGGAGCGCTGCAGATGAAAAGTGAGTACTATTAGGGTTGCTGGATTTCCTGCTCATGAGCAGATGTTGGAGTGGCAGCCCGTATGCTGTGCTGATCATCACCCTGTGCTGGTCATGACCCTACAGCAAACCCCTTTTTCCTGACCACCACACCTGGGTGCGCCTCCAACCGTGCAGTACCTGGCGGGTCTGGAGACGTTTGTGCAAGAAGAGAAAGCCCAGAGGAGGGAGACGAACCGCCAGAATGCGGCAGAGCGGGCGCAGAGGAAGCGGGCCGCAGAGGCAGCTGCAGCTGCTGAGCTGGATGAAGGCCGCAGCAACCGCCGCAGCCGGCGGTCGCGCCGGCAGGTGGTGGTGTCAGATGTCGACAGCGATGAAGATGACAACAATGGGGACGAGTTGTTTGAGTCTGTGCCGGAGAGCGAGGACGAGGGCAATGAATGATTTCTGGGATCCTGGGGGCCTGCCAAGCAGCCAGCCTGGCTGCCTGCCTGGCTGCCTGTGACATATTGTTGCTGTATGACACACGTCAATTGATTTCCATTTACATTTGTAGACATCCACCGAAGTCAAAGAGAAGTCAAAGAGAGGTCAAGAGAAGTCAATGTGACCTTTTCTGACGTGTGTGGGACGTACACAAACGTCAATGGCCGGTCCCTGGACGTACATGTGACGTACTCAGAAGAAGACTAGTCTTGGACGTCAATGGGACGTCAGATGTGGGAAGTAGATTGAACGTCAGCTGGAAGTTCCCATACCCCAAGTGAGTCCACTCATCAGTCAGGTGTGCCTTTGCAAAAGCTGAGGTTGCATTTCCAAGGGAAACTCATGTGGGCAGGCTACCTGTGTGTCAATCCATGTGGATGGGTCCCACGGGCTCCTGCGCTGGCGGAAAAGGCAGGTGACGCCGCAGGGCCTGCGGGATGCCTGTGGGATGCCTGCGGCAGGCATGGATGCCATCACCACAAGCATCACTGGTGGTTTCTGGCTCGGAGCCTGCTGCCGGCAGCATAAGTGGTGTGATGCGCACCTCCGCATGCTGTGACGCCCACATTGCCCATTCTTCTTTCTCTCCGCCGACAGCCTGCACAACTTGTGTGAGCATCGGCGCAATGCACGGCACACGTGCGGGGAGTCGTGCCCCGGCCGAGCCTGGCGCGGCTGATGTCGGCACACTGGTGCCACCTCAGTTTCATAACTTGTGTGCATGTTGCGTCTGCAGGGCGCCTGACTGCAGACACCGGGCATCGGCAGCAGGCGGTGCAACTCGCTCCGCCGGTGTTCCCACCGCTCGGTGAGGCGGAGGAGAGGGTGGCAGCGCTGGGGCTGCGCAGGCACGGTAGCGGCAGCTGGAACCGTGCGCTTCCCCACAGATACATGGGTCAACAGCTTCGACCGAGCAAGAAAACACGCCAGCCATGGGTTGTGGGTACATCACAACGGGCCGCCGCCCCGTGGCGCCATCTCACACCCCACCCGCCGCCACCCAACATTCCCTGATGGGCCAGCGCGCACTACAAACTCCTCTACTCCAAGTCACTACCGTGCGCCCCACCGCTCCACCGGGCCGTCGCAGCGTCTCTGTTTGCGCCCCCCCGATCGATCGCACCCCCGGTGTGATCGATGGGCATGGCAATTCAGGAGAGCGCGCTAGAACGGATCCACAGGTCGGTGCGGTCCCTCGATGCGCGGGCTGGATCGCAGGGCGCCCAGTGCCTGTGGGCGGGAGCGGCGGCGGCGGCAGCCACCCGTCGACAATGCTTGGCTGTTCATACTTATTGCTCCCCTCCCTGTTTGGAGATGCAGGACATGCCGCGAGGCTGTAGAGGCAGCGGCTGGCTCGGGGGATGTGGAGGTTGACCAGGAGGTGGCGCGGGCGGCGGCCGCCTCCCTGCCGCCGCCCTCCGAGGTAGCCGCCGCCTGCCAGTTCACGCGGCTGCCCATTCGGTTCGACAGCCTGCAGGCCGAGGTGGGCGGGGCCTGGGTCAGAGCCTGGCATCCCCCTGTGGCAACACCGCCTGCCTGCTGCAGTGCTGGAGCCGCACGCTGGCGGGCCGCCGCGGCGGGAGCTTGCCCAGCATGCCACGCCTGCCTGCTCTGTTCCAGCTGCGCCACCAGCGCGCAGTCCTTCTGCTACTCCACACACCTTCTGCCACCGCCCTGCCCTCCTGCCCAGCCTGCTGAAACAAGCAAATAAATATGCCCACCTTCGGTCCTTTTGCCGGTTGGTGCAGGTGAATGCCATGGCGCTGTTCCACCTCCTGCAGTTTGGCTCTGGCTTCGACAGCCTGCTGCTGACCAAGATGGGCAGAGGTGCGCGGGCGGCACAGGCACGCGCGGAGCGTGGCGGGCGTGGCGGGCAGGCGGGGCCAGCCCGGCACGCGCCCAACCCCCGCCGGACGTGCAGGCCGTGCCACGCAGCCACGCCGCGCCCCCGCCCCGCCCGCAGACGCCCGCGAGGTGGTGCAGTATGGGCTGCTGGGCATGCTGGTGCACGGCGCGCCGCTGGAGAGCCGCCAGTGGATGGCTGCCTTTGCCGCCGACCAGGCCTTTGCTTTCTTCAACATCGACAGCACAGGCGAGCGGGCTGGGTTCAGGGCCTAAACCGCTGGCTGCGCCGCGCTCGAGTGGCGGGCCAGCCAGGCGGGCTGGTGGGCACCCGCTCCGCGCCGCCGCCCTTCCTGCCAACCGCGCCTCGCCGCCGCTCTTCCTGCCAACCGCGCCTCGCCGCTGCCCTTCCTGCCAACCGCGCCTCCCAACGGGCCGCACGGGTGCCCGCCCGCCCTCGCTGCCTGCCTGGCTGGGCCCTGACCGAGCCCCATGCCTGAGCGCTGGGCGCAGAGGACGAGCCTGTGCCGGGGCTTCCGGGCGTGGTGCTGACGAGGCAGGGCCCGCTGGGCGCCTTCACCTCCCTGCTGCGAGAGGCGGTGAGCGAGACGGGCAAGGCCTTAGCCCAGTCAGGTGTGTGTGGGGGTGGATGAAGGGTGGTATGCTGGCTTTGGAGCGGCTTGCAAGCGGGCTGGAGTTGCGCACGGGCAGCGGGCGGCGAGTTGGGTCCTGGCAGTGATATCGCGGCGGCTCGCGACCAGCGTTGCCCTGTGACTTTGACTTTGACAGCGGCGGCTCCCACCCCTGCCCTGGCGCCGCGCTGCCCGGCGCAGGGCACGCCAGCCTGGGGGCGCTCATCCTGGCGCAGCTGGACCGTCAGGCGGCGGCGGGGCAGCCGCCCTCGGCGGCGGCGCTGGTGGCGGCGCTGGCGGAGGCGGTGCCCGTCTTTGACGACGCCGGGCTGTACCGCGGCAAGCAGGTGCGGTACGCCTGCAGTACGGGCGTGGCACGCCCGCAGACCAGTGCGGAGGCAGCGGGGCGTGCGTGGCGCCGGCGAGTTGCAGGCAACTGCCGCCCGAACTCGCTTTTGGAGGTGGTGAGGTGGTGAGGGAGGAGGTGGAGAGGCGGAACCCGCCTGGCGCGTGCCCCGCAGGTCTATTTCTACCGCAAGGCGCAGCTGCTGGCGGCGCAGCTGCACCTGCGCTTCCGCGGTGCCGACCCGCGCTTCCGCTTTGCCGACATGGAGCAGCTGGCTGTGAACTCTGGTGGGTGTGCGCCGGGCGGCTGGCGGAGGGTTCTGGGCGTGGGTGAAGGCAGGGGATACACGGGGGTGGTGGCGGTGGCAGACTTGA